ATTCGGTAGTGACACTTCTGTCATCTTCAGGCAGTCGTGGTCAAAGTGACGTTGCTGCTTCCTTCCAGTGTTCATACAGCTTTATTTTCAGTTTTTATTAATACACGTTTGCAGTAGGTAATGAGCATATTCATCAGGAGGATCTGTACATGTACACGACATATCTCAGCTCTGCTTTATCCCCTTTCCCACCCCTTCCTCCATTTCATCTCTTGACCCCCGTATCCAAAAGATCTGTCTCCTTATTTCGTATCAACTTTTATTTTTCTCTTTATTTATATTTTTGGTTTCTCATGTAAGCTGTGGTATTTAACTTTGTGTGTTGATTTATTTCATGTAAGATTATGGGCCAAAAGTGCATCCATTTTCCTACAAATGATTCAAGTTTATTCTGTGTGGCAGAGTAGCAATCCATTGTGTATTACCATGTTTTCTTTTTCTTTCATGTGTGGATGCTACGAATTGATGTGACAGGTTTTGTTTATTTCTCCTGTTTTCTTATTCACAAAATAGATGGAGCATTTGGCAAACCACTTGTAATGTCTGTGTGCTTCTTACAGAGAGAGAGTTTGATCCTGACATCCACTGCGGGGTCATAGATCTTGACACCAAGAAGCCCTGCACCCGGTCTCTAACATGCAAGGTGGGTCAGCAGCTGAGCCAGGGCGCCCTTGGGGAGCGTACCCCCCAGCAACACTGTGCTGATGGCTGCCGTGGTCCCTGCGCGTCGTGCATTGTCCTGCGCTGCATAAGGGTGGGAAAGTTCCAAAGAAAAGCTCAAATGAAAAAAATGTGAAGTGGTATTACAAGTTGTACCTCCCCCTTTTTGTTTTTTGGTACCAGAAGTCGAACTCCAGACCTCAGTGCTGGGCCACTGAGCTGTATCCCCAGCCCACACATTGTAGTTTTGAAAGAGGTTGTTTTTAGTAAGTTTTATATACTCCCGGACAGTTGTTTTCTTTCTTTTTTGGGGGGGAGGGGTGGAACTGGGGATTGAATTCAGGCCCTTGCACTTGCCAGGGAAGCGCTTATTCCACTGAGCCATCTCCCCGTATTTTCTTTTTTTAAAAATGTATTTGGGTGCAAGGGCCTGAGTTCAACCCCTGGTTCAAAAAAAAAAAAAAAAATGTATTTGGTACAGGGTCTACAGGGTGTTCGGGGTCTCACTATGTAGATCAGACTCATAGTGATCCTCCTGTTTTCAGCCTCCCAAGCGCTGGGATTATAGCTGCACGCCACACACCCAGTCTCATTCACTGTCTCAGCAAGCCCAGGAAGCGAGCATAGCAGGGCATGCCGGGGACGGAACCCCTGCCTCTGAGCTCTGCCTAAGCAGGCGCTTTAGTACATTGAGCTATCTGACCAGTCCTAATTGTGTTCTTTCTTGATCAGTCTGTTATTTTCTAAGACTTAATCTTTCCACATAGAAATTTAATGGGTGGCTACTTTGTGTGGTTTTAGTTGCCCTGACTTCAAGTCCAGAAATGTCTTCTGTGAATATCTGAATATTTATAAAATGTTCTTAAGCACTGGGCTGGCCAGATAGCTCAGCAGACTAAAGCGCCTGCGTAGGCAGAGCATTGCGGCCCGGGTTCGATCCCTGGTGTGCCATGCCAGCCAGGCCCCTGGGGCGCGCTGAGACAAAATTGAGACTGGGCGTGGTGGTGCACACCTGTAATCGAAGCGCATGGGAAGCTGAAAACAGGAAGATCACTACGAGACCATTCTGTGTAGTTAGACCCTGTAGACCCTATAGGTCCTGTACCAAATACATTAAAAAAAAAAAAAAATTGAAGAACCACCGTTTATGAATCTGTTAACATGGAATCTGATCCATGTCTTGAGTCATACTGTGTCAGTTGTTTTAAGTAATTAGTTTGTAGTTTGTAATACTCTGTCTAGTTTTATCTAGTTTCTTACAAAAGCTAAATTAAAATATATTATTATGTTTTATAAAACCTAGACTTTTAAGATTGCTTTACTTCATAGGTTTTGAAAGAATACTAGAGAAAGTGCAATCTAATTTATGCATATAAGGAAAAAGTAATGGGCCACCTTCCTGCTTTGAAGTCATCTCTTCTTTCCTATAAAATGTCACCCTGCTGATACATGGAGGCACTGCGCCTGCCCTCAGGAAGAGCTGTTGAGTCTGTATTTCTGTGCGCTTCTCTAGGTGGCTCCGGGTCCCCCCAGAAGGGTTTGTAGAATTTGAGAATCACCACAGTAAGTCCCCAACTTAAAAGCGAGTTCTGTTCTGGGAGCCTCGTCCACAAGTCACGTTTGCTCATAAACTAAGCAAGTCTTGCACAATACACCTGTGGAAATTTGAAGTAAAGTGTCCACAATTCGCAAACTTACTGTGCTTTTAAGTATGTACTTTTAAGTCTTTTTCCAGGAGAAAGAATTACAGAAGTGTTTTCTGAAAATTAATAATTTTTCTAAATTTTATTTTTAGGTGGTTATTAATTTCAGTTTAAATTTCTGATATACTTTAAGTGGCTAGGTTTTGTCCTCAAACATGGATTGGTTCTGAACCTTTCAGGGGTTCAGAACATCTGATTTTTGGCCCAGCATGGTAGCACATGTATAATCCCAGCACTTAGGAGACTGAGGCAGGAGGACTGTTTCGAGGGGAAGGCCAGCCTGAACTGTGTAGTGACACCCTGTCTTAAAAAACAAAAGCAAAATAAATAAGAATTATCATAGATGCTTAAATATTAGGGCAAGCCCACTCAGGTACGCGTTGTGCCGTTTGCTTTCCATTTGGTGTCGATGAGCTTCCCCACCCCAAGTCTGACCGTAATTTCTAGATTAAAAACTACAGCCACCAGTGAGTTGTTTTTTTCTTTTCCTGAGTTACTAATAGTGCACACAGGAGAGGGTCATCGTTGCTCTTGTCGTTGGAGAACAGCCAGGGAGCTCTGAGCTTTGTGTGATCCAGCCAGCCTGGGGGTGCAGCGCTTCTCTGTCGTGTTCCATTTCCAAGTCTGCACTCTCGGTTCTCTGGAAGTGATAGTTCAGTGATGGGGAGGGCAATGAGGGATGGGTTCTTCATCCCGAGATGCTCTTTCATGTTACCTGCAAAGCACCGCAGTGACTCAAAGGCTTTGTACTTTTTAAAACGTTACTGTGGTAAAAGTATTTTAGCCGGCACGTCCTCTTGCACTGGGAGGTACAGTACTGGAAGTCTGAGAGCGATTCCCCTAAGCCTCTCATATGTGCAGCAGTCATGCACTGCAAACCTGCAGAGCAGCGCATCTGTTGGATGCAAATTCACCTGCAGTGTTAAGTTTGGTATTTTGTAACATAAAGAAAGGTGAGTGTGGCTGAACTCCCTCACGTCTATGAATATGGGATGGGAGCGCTGAAGGTAGTGTGTGCACGTCTGCTCCTGAGGGTTAGCGCCCTTGACAGACTCAGATCCGAGCCCCAAGTGGAGTAGCCAGGCGGACTGGACCTGCAGAATCATGCCACAGTGACTGGGCCTGACTGCCACCAAGATTTCACCTGACTCGTGACACATCTTGCTTTTGCGTTCTGCTGCTAGGAGTGTTAGACTTCAAGTGCCTTGGCGTTGTACAGCACCAGTGATTTGGCACACAGACATTTCCCCATGAGGTGTAGGTCAACCCCAGGTTGTACTGGTGGCCTTCTTAAAGCCAGCAGGGCCATGTTGTCTTTCTCTCTCTCTGCATGCCCCCACCTAACCACTCTGGAGCTGGGAGTGTCCAGAGTCCCAATTTCCCTGGGAGGGTGTGACACTCCTCTGCCCAATTCCTGCTGCTTGACCCCGTTCCTGTCTGTTGCTCCCCTCTTCTGTGCCCCATCTTTTCAGCTTCCTGAAAGTCAGCCTTTGTCAGGAGCAGTCTGTGATGCCAGAATACTTTGGACCATTTTCTCTTTCTACAGCGTTTTCACTGGAATAGAGGGAAACAGCTGTTTAGCTTTTTTTTTTTTTTCTCTGATGGTTATTTAAAGGAACACTTTCTAATATGTATTGTGAGAGATAATTGTTTCTTCTCTTCAAATTAGCATTCAGCATTTTAAATGATTTTAGTGGAGCTGGTGAAACCATCATTGAACAAGCTGCTTTTACAGTATAAAACATGAGTACCTGTTACCTGTGACTTACCTCTGAGTCACAGAGCAGGTGGAAAAGCAGCATTTCTCTTCTGGAACGAACACCCTGGCTCCTCCTGCAGTTAGTCAAAATATGTGCTTGTGGATGAGCTGAGGAGAGGCTGTCAAGCTGTTATTTTTTTAAATTTGGGTTTTTTATTTATTTTTAATTCATGTATTTGGTACAGGGTTTCAGTACACAGCTCAGACTCATAGTGATCCTCCTGTTTCAGCCTCCCCAGTGCTGAGATTACAGGCCTGCGCCAGCATACCCAGTTTCGGTTACAACTTAGTGGGCCTGGGGCAGGGTGGGGTAAGCACAGCATATGGTACTGATAATTGGACTGGGTCTGACTGCCACCTAGCTGCCTTGTGCTTGCCAGGCAGTCACCTAGACTGCTGAGCTACTCTCCAGCCCTGCTCAAGCTCTTAGGCCTTGCTGTTTATCCCATGTCAATCAGTATTGTAATGGCTTGGTTTTTTTGTTTTTTTTTAATGGAGAGTTTATCTTAGGATGTATAATGGAGATTATTCCTGAGATTCCTGTTTCTGTATTTCTTTGTTCTATAGACACATTCCTTAACCCAGCGGAGGGCTGTTCAGGGTAGAAGAAAACGATTTGATGTGTTATTAGCCGAGCACAAAAACAAAACCAGGGAAAAGGAATCGATCCGCCATCTGGACTCTCAGCAACCACTGCAGCCGCTCAGGGACCCGCACCCCACCCCTCCCCGCACGCCCCAGGAGCCGCACCAGTCCTCGCACGGAGTGGCTCCTTCGGAATCAAAGCCTTTCGTAGTTAGTAAACCGAAACCTCACACCCCCAGTCTTCCAAGGTAAGCACGCCTCTGCCCTACCCCTCTGTTGGAGACCAGGCTTGTAGACAGTGTCAGACCTACAACCACGCAAGGAAGTGTATCTCACCGTGTTCACTGTGAAGATGCTGTGGGTTAATTGGCTTTTACTATGAGAACAAAACACTGTTGGGGTCCCCAGTAAGTGTCAGCCAGGGCTGCCCTGGGATACAAATCCAGGTAGCACCGTGAAGATAAGATTTCTGCACTACCTCTGCTTAGTGTCAGGCGTCTTTTAACATGCAGGGCTGCAGCCGGGACCTGCCGCATGTCGCAGAGGGGAACATTTTACTAGACTTGGGTAGCAGTTCATTTGTTCACCCGCTGCTCCTTGTGAAGTGTGGCCATGGCAATTCGTGCTAGGGACAGGTGTGCAGCCCGAGCTCCTAGCAGCATCGGTGTGTCGGCGTGGTTTTCAGTCATTTACCTGGGACTGGGTTCAGGGCATTGCAGCAGCATGGGAAGCTGTGAGTCGGGGTATTCAGAGGACAGTTTGTCCCATGGATGCCTCAGGCACAGCGTGCTGAGAGTGTCTCCGTACAGGAACTGAAGTCCAGTTTCCAGCGGGAGGGGAAGGCCTCAAGAGTGAGGCGTCTCAGGCTGTTGCTGAGCTGTGGGCACTAGGGCCTCTGGTGCTTGCCTGGGAGTGGCTTCTGCTTTTGGTTTCTGTCACCTGTGCCTTGCCCTGAAGTAGCTGCCTCAGGGTGGAGATCTTCCCAGTGGCAGCCCGACTCAGTTCCCCATGGCAGCGCCATGTGTGCTTTGCAGCTGCAGCCTGAGTAGCACCCTGGAGACGGGCGGAGGAGCTGGCTGTCCCCACGTGTCAGGCCCCAGCCACAGGTGCCTTAGTAAGTCCTTTCTGTGGCCATCTTCTCATCAGTTTCTCCATCTGTAAGAAGCTTAATTCCAGAACTACGATGCCATCATAGTTGCAGAAGGAAGATGCCACTGTCCTGAACGACAGGCTCCAGGCGGCCACATAAGTGATAGCTGCCTCATTCCTTCACCACCTCCAGCCCTTCTCAGTTGTTTTACTTACTGCCCTGGTAAATCAAATTTAGTGGAAATCTGAAGAGAGCTCAAGAAATAATCCTGTTATACCCTGCACACATGTCCCCCTCTTTGGGAGGAATTGGGGGGAACCTGAGTTACCAGTTGGCGTTGGAAAGGACGACTGGTATAAAGTTGTCTTTGGGTATGTCTGGCATACCCCAAGTGATCCTGACTGACCACTGCATCAGGAGAGTAGATTCTCTGTCCCCAGCCCCAAGGGGAGTTTGTGGCCCTGAGGCTAGTGGTGGAAGCCAGACCCCCAGGTTGCATCTGAGTGAGTTAAGGCGGCTGACTGGCGGGTGCATGATCTGACCCATGCCCACTTTCTGCTCACCAAGGCCTCCAGGCTGCCCTGCTCAGCAAGGTGGGAGTGTCCCCGTTGACCCTCCACCAGCCTTTGAGTCTCCACACCCTCCCCTGCCTGCCTCTGAGCCAGCTTCTCGGTTATCCAGCGAGGAGGGTGAAGGCGATGACAAGGAAGAGTCTGTTGAAAAACTGGACTGCCATTATTCAGGTCGCCACCCTCAGCCAGCGTCTGTAAGTGCCATGTCCACCCCATGCCGACCCTCCCCCACAGTGTGGATGGGCCCTGCAGGGGCGTGCCAGGCCTGTGCACAGCCCAGAGGCTGCAGCACACTCTGTGGGGACAGCTTGTGCTGTTCCTGTCTTCCATGAAACTCGGGCCTTGTCACTCGCATGCTCTGCAGCCTCAGTACTCAGACGGCTCTGGCTTCCTGCTAGCTCTGCTCCAGCCAGTGTGCGGGGATGTCCGAGGCGGCAGCACATGCCCGTGTTCTGTCTTGCAGTTTTGCACATTCGGGAGCCGGCAAATTGGCAGAGGCTATTACGTGTTTGACTCCAGGTGGAACCGACTGCGCTGTGCCGTCAGCCTCATGGTGGAGAAGCACCTGAATGCGCAGCTATGGAAGTGAGTACCCGCGGTGTAGGGCTGGGTGGCCTGCACGGCCCCTGAGGAGAGTGGCTGCCCCTCACACCCAAGCACACGCACATGGCTGCCTGCTGTTCTGCGGGCTAGGGCTCAAGGCAGGAGGACTGCCACACAGGTGACCTAGCTGGGACCGAGGGGAAATGGAAACCAGTCAGCCAGACATAGAGAGCTGTGATCAGCGTGTCAGTCAGTGAGCTGCTGGACAAGTGACAGCTGCTAACCCGAGAGCTTTGGGTGCCGGGAACTTGTGGGACGTACTTACCTTTCACAGTTATCTGCAGTCACTGTGATGAGTGTTTTGGATAACAAAACTGAGGTACAAGGTCATGTGTCAGGTGGGTGAGAGGCCAGGTTTTGGACCTGGAGGCCATTTGTTTCAAGTGAAGGTCTGCAGTGGGGAAGAGCCAGTCAGGGGCTCCCAGGAAGGCCTGCGTTGGGAGGAGGCCCGGGAGCTGAGGAACGAGGCTGAGCACGAGCTCAGCGTGAGCCCAGGGTGCCAGACGCATGGAGACCGGGTTGAGCATGAGCACAGTGTGGCCGCCACCGCTGCGGTGGGCGTGAAGGCTACTGAACGGTCTGGGCCCTCACTGGCGATTGAAGATGCCTGCGTGACAGCTTGTACTAGCAGTGGCAGGAGTGTCACTGCAGACTCCATCCTCATTGTGCTGGCCTTTCTCAAGGCACTTGGATGAGAGGAAGAGGCCCAGGGCCAAAAGCACAGAGGTCAGCCTGTTCAGAGAGCCCTGCTTTCCGTTCTGCAAGCCTTGAGCCGGCTGGGCCCTGTGCTGCGTCACTCAAAGCAGGAGCTCCCAGAAGCAGGCAGAGCACCTCCAACCCTTTTGGACCTGGGAAACACTGTCATGAAGCACTTTGGAGGACTGGGCTGGGTGAATCCTGCCGGGAGGAACCCTGAGTGTTACTTGTGCACAGGGCTGCATTGCTGGCCTCAGATTTGCCCCTAGGGCCTTGCGGACTTACCTTGAGTGGCCTGAGGTCCAGAGACCCGGCTCCATGCAGGAGGGCAGCGCCGCAGCGCCACAGCCGCGTTCCTCTGCTTCTGCGTTCCCCATCTGCTGAGGGGCCACCTTCTTCCTGAGGAGCGTTTCAGAATCCTGGCTGCCAGAGAGGTCTTGGAGGTGCTCTCCTGGCCGGTCTGGGCCCCCAGTGAGGGGCTGTGGGGGTACAGACTTGGGCTCCCCGCTGTGCTGTGTCTGTTAGAGGCCGCCTTCCTACTGCTGCAGGGAGACAGGGCAGGCACTTCCTTCCTACCAGCGGACCTTCTGGTTGTTCCGGTTTCTATTTTCTGGTTAGTGAGTTTGACTTTTTGGAGACAGGGTCTCCCTATTAGTCTAGTCCTACCTCAGTCTCTCGAGGTTTACAGAGATGTGCCACCACCTCAGGCTGGGGTCTCCGTTCTGTTGCATTGTTTTGTTTTGTTTTGATTTTATGTCTTTTGTTTTGATTTTATGAACGTGGGGGCTTTTCACTGAGCTACATTTCTACCCTTGTTTAAACACATTCCTGCTGGTTTGACCCACCAGTGACACATGCATGACTGTCTACTGAGTAGCTTTTTATTAGAAAAAAACATTAGTTACTAAACCTGCTGGCAGGTGGGACACTCACGCACATCCAGCCTGGGCTCAAACTTGCAACCCTCTGGTCTTACTTAGCATGTCAGAGTGCTGGGATAGCAGGCATGTGTCTGCACACCCCGCTGGACCTGTGCTCTGAGGTCAGCACAACAGTGATAGGTGGGTGTCACTGAGCGCTGAGCTGACACCTGGGAAGGTGGAGCAGGGCCCCAGGCCAGCAGCCGTGCAGCGCCTCCATGGGGTGCACTGGTGGTACGCAGCAGCCCCACCCACCCCTCGGATTTGCTGTGGGTGGCCTGGAGCTTCTCAGCATGCTGAGAGCCCTGCTTGTGTGCCAGCTTTGAGGCCCCGCAGAAACAGCAGCACGGGTCACAGCTTCTGCCTGACGCAAGCCCTGGCCAGGAACGGTGTTTGCGTGGCGTCCTGCCTGACCTCTCACCGTAAGTGGGCTGTGAGAGGCCGTGGTCGGACGTGAAGTCCTCTTCGTTTTTGACCTGTATGTCTTTGGGGATGTGGCCATGACCCCAGAGGCCCTTCTGGGCACCTGTCATTTTAGGGGCTGCTTACCTTCCTTAAGATCTGGGACCACTACCCCACACCCATGGGGATCGGGGATGGGCACTGAGGATTCTTGCTTGTTTGTATTTTAACTATTCAATTTGTTAAAATGTTCACTTGGTTGAAAAATAAAAATTGATTATTAAAAAGGCATAAAGGTGAAAAGCCTCGGTCCCCATGTCCTCTACCCCTCCTGCCTGCTACCTATTCCCTGAAGACAGGGCTGTTTTTAGTAGCTTATCGTGTATGTGTACTGCAAGTTACCAGTGCAGACACGGTCAGTGTGTGACTCTTAGCTTGCTTACTCTGTACCTGTCAAAAGATCATGAATTATTCTGAAAGAGGGCTGGCCAAACAGCTCAGTGGATTAAAGCGCCTGCAACCAGGGGCAGGGGGCAGAGGTTCAATCCCCGGGCCTGCTGTGCTGGCCCCGCCCCCGGGCATACCCCCCCCCAGACAGCAATTGAGACTGGGCGTGGTAGCACACACCTGTAATCCCAGCTCTTGAGAGGCTGTAAACAGATCACTTTGAGTCTGAAGACCCTGAACACCTTGTAGACCCTTCCCTAAAATATATATATATGGAATTATTCTAAAAGAGCTTTGTGAAAAAGAGCCAGTATTTGTTATTCTGGGAGATCCACAGACTATTTCTCTTCCTCAGGTTGGGTTGCAGAAACTCTGGTCCTCGGGCCTTATTTTATGAATGACCTAGGGCCACCGGGAGCCACTGTGCCGTGAGCAGTGATGTTGGGACCCCTCGCTGCCGGGGGGCTTAGTGTGCAGGTTGAGGCCCTGGGCCCCAAGTCTCTGAGAGGTCTCCTTGTAGTGCCTGTGTGGCGCAGGGCCCAGCGTGGCGATTGGCTGCATGTTGGAGCCACTCCCTGTGACTCCTGTGTCATCCTTGTGCGTACAGCGGAAGGGCTGGGGCATGTGTCCTGTGCAGCGGTTCCGACCTGAGTTACGGCCTGAGCTGTGCTCCGTCCTTAGAACGGAGTTCTGAGGCAGCTGCAGGTGCTCACAGTTCTTACTTCCTGTTAACTGCATACTGCTTTTTCTTCATGGCTTCTGGAAAGTGCTAGGCAGACACTAGCCAGCCCTGTCCCCCGGAAAGTGGAGGAGATAGAGCATGGCAGGGAGAGAGAGTTTCGGCTTGGACTGCCTAGGAACTGGAGGTGTGGCAGTCTCGGCACTTGCCTTCCGGTCGGACCCTCCTTCCTGCTCTGTATCTCACTTTGGCGTTTGTTCTGTTAGGGTGAGTTAGCTTTTGGTTTTTGGCGGTTTTTGTTTGTTTGTTTGTTTGTTTGTTTGTGTTTGTGGGGTTTTTGGTGGAGGGGTTGGTGGTTTTCAGTTTCTGGTTGGTTTTTTTTTTTTTAAGACAGGCATTTGAGGCTGTTGTCTAGGCTAGTGGCAAACTCCAGGGCGTAAGTGACCCTCCCCGTGACCTGGGACTACAGGGCCCACCCCTGGCTGCCTCCTTGGCTTGTGTGGGGTGCGAGCCCCCAGCTGCTGGTAAGCAGCCCCACTTCTTGGCCCTCAGCATTTATGGGCGTGCCGGAGTGCACTGGCGTTCTCAGCTCAGGGCTGCCGCGGAACGTGGGCTGTGGTTTACTCTTGTCTTTAGAGGAGTCTGTGGCACAGGTCCTGTCTTGAGCAGTCTAGGAATGTGACAGCATGAGTCTTGGGAGTCACTCAGCAAGCCGGCATGGTCGAGGGATCTCCCCAGGGAGGAGGTGCCACACTGAGCCCACAGCTGGGGCACGGTTGGGGCAGGAGTGGTCCAAGCAGAGGTCCCTGGGAACACAGCACAAGCCGTGGCCCTACCTGGGTGGAAGTCGGCGTGAAAGAGCTGCCGACCAGTCCCAGAGTTAGTGAGAGGACAAGCGGCAGCACTGCCTGGGCCCAGAGCTTAGTGCAGAGGGCTCCATGGGTGTCCTTGTTGCCCCCAGTGCCTCTCATCCTCACTCCCTTCTCCTTTCAGGAAAATTCCACCGGCGCCCATCACCACCTCGCCCATCTCCACACGTGTTCCTCACCGGACAAACTCTGTGCTGACGTCGCAGTGTGGGGTTGGCTATCTCCCGGCAGCCACTGTCTCCACACCCCCAGTTCTGCTCACATCACCCTGCATCTCCCCAAACAGCAAATCGGTACCAGCTCACGGAACCACGCTGAACGCACAGCCGGCCGCCTCGGGGGCAGTGGACCCTGCGTGCGGCCTGCAGTCCCGACAGGTGTCCTCCTCATCCCCATCCCCATCCCCGTCCACACCCTCCAGTCTCTCTTCAGTCCCCTCCTCACCCCTGGCGAGGAAACCTCAGAAGTTGAAATCCAGCAAGTCTTTGAGGCCCAAGGAGTCTTCTGGCGACAGCACTAACTGTCACAACGCCAGCAGCGGTAACAGTGGTGGCTCAGGAAAGAAACGCAAAAGCAGCTCCCCGCTGCTGGTTCATTCTTCCTCTTCTTCTCATTCCACGGAGTCCTTTAGGAAACACTGTGTGGCTCACTCTGGGCCGCCCCCCTTGCCCACAGTGACATCCTCCCACGGCATGGGCCTCAACTGTGTGACCAACCGCGCGTACTCGGGGAGCCTCCGGCACGAGCAGCTGGGGAGGGGCCCTCCTGGCGGGAGCCCCGCGGAGTCCATCAAGCGCATGAGTGTCATGGTGAACAGCAGTGACTCTACACTCTCCCTTGGCCCGTTTGTGCACCAGGCCAGTGAGCTGCCTGTCAACTCCCATGGCAGTTTCTCCCACTCACACACTCCTCTGGACAAGCTCATAGGAAAGAAGAGAAAGTGTACCCCGGGCTCAAGCAGTGTCAACAACAGCAGTAGCAAACCCACGAAAGTTGCCAAATTGCCACCCATGAACAACGTCCACATGAAACACACAGGCACCATCCCTGGGGCACAAGGCCTGACAAGCAGTCCCCTCCTTCACCAGGTAGGAAGTGGCCTGGAGCCCCTGGTGCCATGGCCTCCCCCTGCATCTGTAGCCAGCTCGTAAACCTGATTGGCTGTAAACAGCCAGCCACTTCATGGTGTCTTCTGAAAAGGGGAAAAGTCTGTGATATGTGAGGGCCCAACAGGGCTGTGCTGCCGAATTCCTGGTGCCTTTCAGAGATGCTCCTGGGAAAGGAAGTCAGACTGGTGCCCTTAGCAAACAAGGCTGAGGGCAAATAAGCCCTCAGCATGACAGCAGGACCTGCACTGGAGGTGGCACTTCCTAGAGTGGCCCTGCAGACAGAGGTTCCTCTGGAGAGACAGCGAGGCTGAAAACAAGGGACCTAGAAAAAGATGAGTTGAGACTTAAAAAGAAAGCTTGTCATGTTTTTCACTGGTAGCAATTTCAGATATTCTGGTTAACTGTCACCTTGTATCTTCTCCCTGTTTTCAGGGGTGGTAACAAGACAGTGCTTAGTGTGGGCATACCTGAAGACTGAAAAGTCCCACCACATTAGTAGCTGACAGAGCACTAGCAGTCCCGTGGTGGGCAGCGCCCGAGTGGGTTCTGGGTGCAGGGTGACCGCGACTCCCTCTCACGCTCTCTCCTTGTCTCTCCCTGGTCTTCCCGTCGCCCGCTCCCCTGCCTGTCCCCTCCTGCAGCTGTCTCTTCAGCTCCCTTTGCTCTAACTGCAGCTCATCTCTGCTCTTGTTATTTCATCCTTCAGGATGTCTCCTCACCTTGCTTCCGAACAGAAATTGCAGCAGCAGCACCCCAGAGCCCTGACATAAAATGTGAGGCTCTCTTCTGCATCTTCTTTTCCTTTCCTTATCTTCAGTGCTTGTCTCAAATGCCGCACTGGGAATGTTTTAGGAAGAACCCATAAGTCCCTTTCTGTCGTGTAATTTCCCTCCAGTATTCGTATGAATTCACAGTGTGTCAAAGGTGTGGGGAAAATAACTTAAGTAGCTGCCTAGATTATGGGCTATTAAGGTGTTGTTTGGTGTTTTAAAGCAAGGTTCTTGAGAAAATGAGAATTGTGCTGTACACTGAGTCCTTGTTACAGACCCCCAAGCTGGGAACTGTCACAGCGGGCTGTGGAAGTCCTGCTTTATCTGCTCCCATTTGCACCTACCAGCATCAGCAGCTGTCCTGGAAGGGATCCTCTGCTCGAGCCGGGCACTTCCTGTGCCCGTGTGCTACAGTTAGTAGGGCTTGACAGTGGCAGGCTCACGGCACGTGTGCACAGGAGGCTGCGTGTGTTATGGAAAGCTTCGCCGTCGCTGATAGTTCATGACATGGCAGCAGCAGCCCGGTACCCACCCTTGGAAGTTTTTGCCCCCTGGTGCCCCTGGCCCCTGCGGGGGTTTAACGCCTGTGCCATGTTTGTGTCGCTGCATACGCACCACGTCTTCAGGCACAACGAGGGTAGCTGAGGAAGCAGCAGGGGCAGGGCCAGCGGAGAGAGGCGGCAGTGCTGCTGGAGGGGCCGGGTCCCGTGGGCAGGAAGCCTGTGCCCCTGGATGCTTTCCTTAGCAGTTTTAAAGAAAGACTGCAGGTCTGAACTCGCGTGTGAAATCTGGCCCCACTTAGAAGTGTGCACGTGATAATGTGCAGTCTGTGTAGCTCCTGGCCAGGTTCAGGCTCGTCACCTGCCAGTGTGCCCTTGCACTTTGACCATCTGGGAGGGCCAGTACCCCCTGGAAGGGCCCACATTGTCTGACTTGGGGATCTTGTTAGGTGGGGTGCAGCTTCAGTTCATGTTTGAGACGGCTTGCTGGTCCATACCAGAGTACTGGTGATGGTGCTGCACGCATCCTAGGGGGCCATGGCTAGAGCTGAGAGGCTGAGTGAGCCTGAGGTGTTTTATTCCCAAGTTTACACATCTGTAGAAAGGAGCCTGTGAGGTCCACGAGAGTCTTGGAAGGAGTCATGGCTCCCATATGGCTCCAACTGTAAAGAATGCTGTTTGTGGAAAATAGAAATGTATGGGGCTGGGGAGATGGCTCAGTAGAATAAGTGCTTGCCTGGCAAGCGCAAGGGCCTGAGTTCAATCCCCGATTCCGCAAAAAAAAAAAAAAAAGTAGAAATGTAACCTGTTGTTCCTGGCAGAGCTGACCGAGCTGGTAGAAGTGGGGCATTCTGGGAAGCTGAGGGGTGGGGCTGGGCAGGCTCCCCCAGCACCGCCACGGTGCTAGTGCAGATGGCGGCGGCAGCGGCAGCCAAGCCCAGGTCCTCCCGGAGCCCCATGGCTTGCTGGGGTGTGTGCAGGCGCACCTGTGTCTGCGAGCCCCAGGAACTTTGTTTTCTTCTCACTCAACCACCTGGAAACCTTCAAGGACACGGACTCACAAACCAAACCAAAAGGCGAACGAGTCCTTCCCCAAGTTAGAGAACCAGGCCCACTTCTCTTCTAATTGGTTTTCTGAAAATAAGTCTTGAGAGAATTGCCTCCGGGGCAGCGAAGGCGTGGAAAGCTGAGGTCCAGCTCTGTAGTGGGGTGCTCTGTGTGTCAGGGCTGCACACAGCCGCTTGCTTACTCTGTTGTTTCCCCACCCCCTCTCTTTTGAAAGCCAAAGGCGCGCCCCTGACCGCCGAGAACAGCGTGGGGAGGAGCGAGCCGGACCCTGTCACAGACGTGCTGCGCCTGCCCTCGGCACGCTGGACTCCCTGACGCCTGAGTCTTCGAGGCGTCCTTGGCCTTGAGGGCACCTGCTAGGCAGCCGTGCCTGAGGAGCTCCCGGGGCTGTGTCCGGAGCAGTGAGTACTCCTGAAGGACGCAGGGCAGGGCAGCGGCCAGACCGCCTGCATCAGTGTTAGGGCGATCTGGACTGCTTGCTACCAGTCTGTGAGAAGTTGCTGTTGTTGTGGGTTAGCTGTAGTATATCATGGAGCCACTCTTCAGGTTGATGGGCTGGGCAAGAACTTGACTGTAGGTGTTCCCTTCCCCCGTCCTGCCCATTACTTGCACACTGTCTGCTCTAGGCCACGCTGCAGCAGGTAGGCACCTTAGCCCTGGAGCCCGGGGCCTTTCCAGAGGAGGGGACGCTGCGTCCTGAGCAAGCCCCAGCGACTCACGGGGGCTGGGGAGCTAGCTCCGCGCACAGCGCTTGGCTGGCAGGTGTAAGGGCCTGAGTTCAATTCCCAATACTCCCCGCCCCCAAAACCCCCACAAAAATCAGAAGTACAGTATGGACATTGATGCAAGATGTTGGGACAAAAATCACCCAGTGTTTTGAAAATAATTTGGAGTAAGAAGCTGCCAGAAGTTTTGACTTCCAAACTGCTCTGAAGCCACTGACGCGCAGAAGCAAGTGTAAACCATAGCAGATGGAGGCCAGATTTTCCTGGCACAGAAGCAGTTCTGTGTGATTCAAGACAAGAAAGATAATGCAGACTAGTTTTGATAATAGAAAGCCAAATTGAGGAGGGCCAGAATGAGAAGGCTAAAATCACAATGGCGGGCTTCTTCCAAGATTTCCAAAGAGATGGAACATTCTTATCGTTTAGGTTTTCATGTTAAACAGTATGTCACATTGGGTCGACTGTCCTACCCACTCTTTTTTAAAGAATTGCCTTTTTAAAGTGAAATTACTAGGATATACTAAGTATGTCCTAGGCGTTGGCCCCTTTGCCCTTTGGAGACAGCCCTGGGAGTAAGTACAGTCCCTCCCTCCAGAACCCCTGTGCTGTAGTATCCCCGCCAGCTCTCAGCCGCTGCTGAAGACCTGGGTGCAGGCGGGCGGCAGTGGATCCTAAGGGTGGAGAGGTGCCCTGAGGTGTGGGCGGAATCCACGCCAGCCATCTTTCTGATGGCTCAGAGCCTCCAGGATATTTCCTGTGGTCCCCACTCTAAAAGGAAGCTTACTGTGTTAAAGCAGCACAGCTCGGGACGGTGCCGTGGAAGGCTGGGGTTGACCTGGGCCGCCACCACCTCAGCTCCCAGCTGAGACCCTCACCCTCCTCAGAGAGTGGCTGACACAGGGTGAGATTTCAAGGCTCTGACCACTGTCCTGGACAGAGCCGGCCAGGGCAGCCTTTTTTCCCTACATTTCTTGGGTTACAAACTTAAGTTTCAGGGAATTTTGAGTCAACAACAGGTAGAATGAATAAACTCTTGGTTACCAGCCTAATAATGTGAATTGCTACAGAATTATTCTTATTATGTAAGAAAACAAAGACTTTATGCAGATACTTTAGCTATAAATTGGTGTAAAATACTGATTTTTTTAAAGGAAGGGGCGAACAATATCTTGTTCACTTATTATGCAATCAATCAGTAAATGTTTCTAAGAGCTACTGTACAAGAGCTAGTTCTGAGAGCTCGTGGATGGGCCAGCCTGGCGTGGTTAGGAGAGAGCACGCTGGTGCCTCCGGGGGAGCCGGAGCAGGAATCTGCGCACTTGGCGATTCCTTGGTGACAGTGCAATGGGTACGGGCAGCATTTGCTTTCAGAGCCAAGGGGACTTGATGGCTATAAACTAAGTTGCTTTTAGGGATGGAGTTTATAGACAGATCATGTTGTTCCGAAAGATGTGAATAGGATCCATGGTAGCAAGCTGATTCAGGATAATGTAGATACATAGACTAGCGAGTGTTGATCATTTGATTTCTTAGACTGTGGTTTTAATTGAATTTCATTATGTCTCCCGGTAATCCACAGAATGTCGGGATTAGGAAATTAGCCATTTCGGATTCTGCCTGCCACAAACAGACCTATTCTAAACAGTGCTATTAAATTTTAGACTGTTCAAATATTTTATTTTCTCCAACAACTTTTTATTATGAACAATTAAGACCATTTCAAAACACGGGAGTACAAGTATTTTTTTGAATTAAATTAACTTACAAGAACCAAATTTGCAGTGGTTGGGTTGTTTCTAGACAGACTTTGGTATCAATTTAAAACCAAGATAATTTTTATATTCTTTCCAATAGAGTTTCATGACAACTTCTGCGATTTTCTTAACCTACAAAAAAAAAAAAGTGCTGCGATGATGAACAAAGAATTATACAAAACCTACTTTTGTATCTTTATTTTGGGATTTCTTGTTCTATTATAAATATGGAAGTATCCCTATTTCAGAAGACATATTTTGTTAAAAATGAATTGTACATATTTAAATATGTATTTTTGCACAGGTCTTTTTTTCTGATATCCTGTTTTGGTACAATTGAGATCATCTAGTATTTATTTATTAATTAATAAAAGTAAATACCTTTTTATAATTTGAAGTGGTTCACTGCCAAGCCAGTAGTTCTAGAACCTGCCTCCTCTGCGGTCTAAGGGATGCCTCTGCTCTGTGAACGTGTTTGTCCCGTTTTGCGTCCCGGAAGTGGATCTGCGCAGATGAAGTGGGCATCGCGTCTCCCTCGCTGCCTGAGTTCCCAGTAGACTACATGTAACTTAAGTGACACACTGCTTTCTTTTGTTAGTGTTGTGCGTGCGTGCGAGCGTGTGTGCTGTGTGTGCCTGTGTGTGCACTCCAAGCACGTGTATGTTACAAGTATGTGATACGATTTAAAACTAACAGAAAAAACTGAAAGTGCCTGAACCTAGTTTTAAGCTTAGACAGATTCTCTTTAAAAAGACTTGAATGTTCCGTTGAACTTTTGGAGTTTGCTTTTTCCACCTAAATATTGTTTCTAAAATTTTAGGGGGCAGAAGTTGAAAACCACCAGTGCTGGTAATTTATAGGTATTTGCAACTCTGATCTTGCAGGCCACAGCACCTAGCTGCTGACGGCTTGCCAGGGGCACCTGGGTCCCAGATCTCGCCAGCCAGCAGCATACATGTGTCTGTTCTGTTACTCATGAAATAGAATTTAAAAGAGAATATTTAAAATATTTGTATTCCAAAAATATAATACAAAGTACCTCTAAGAACATTGAAAAAAAAGCATAATTTGAAAAATGTAACTTATAAAGGCAGCTGTCTTCCTGCAAGAGAGTTCTGTTGCCAAGGAATTTCTTCCTGTCTCATTCTGTCCTGGGGTGTGGGGTGGGCTTTGAAAAATAATTGTTAAATGTTTCATTGTTTAGAAGAAAATAACTTTTACATTTTGTGCAAAACATTTTGCATTGTCAGATCATTAGATGAACACTACATCCTGTCAGTGTGAATGCAGGGCCTTTGAAAGCGTTTTGCTGTTTCCGAGCTTGGTTCTAAAAGCAATCTCCTGTGTTGAAATGTGTGAATAGTTTGATAATTTGTACACATAATCAAGAGCATCTCAGCTGGACTTGTGTTGGCTGCTGTATAGAACATGAACAAATGTCAAGGGATAGAAAATTACTTTGGATATTTAAAAGAGAAGAAATATATAGTCTATTTGTTTTGTAACAAGTTTCTGTAAATAAAATAATTTATACTATTTATAAGAAAAAGTTGTGCTTTGCTTTATGAGAAATCAGTTTGTGGAACAAATGTTGCGAAGCGGGCAGTAGAGCCAGGGCCTGTCAGTCGGTCAGGCTGGCTGCTGCGGCGCAGAGCGCTGCTGCCCCGTGGTGCCGGCGGGCTCCTCGCCGTCTGCGGCATCAGGCGCCCGCGCAGCCTGCCCCGCAGGGCTCCTGTGCCCGGTGTTGAGGCCATTTCTCTTCCTGGATGCGAAGCCTGGCCTGGGATGAACTAATGGCTGCCGAAGAAGCGGTGTCACTGGCTTGATGTCCCAGCCTGCGGGCTGTGGCTGAGGCGCGAGTTGACCCCTGAGAGCAGCACGCCTGCCTCGGTCCTCGCGGCAGGTCAGGCTGAAGACTTGCGGTGCGGCTGGGTTCGAGTGGGGTCCGGCTGCGCTGTTCACCTGGAGCCAGTCTAGATACTCCCATGGCTTTCTGGCGACGTGGGCGTGTGTTAGTGTTCCGTGTAGGAGGTGACCTTTCTATCTAGAAATTGGGGAGTTTTGCCGTTTGAAAAGAAATCATTCTGCATCTTTTTGTTGCTTAAAATAAGGAAGCAACTGCTTCGTGCCCTGGAGGAAACGTCCACTGTGTGTGAGGGAGGGAGCGGGCAGTGTCCTCCCTGCGCTGCCCCTCAGGCAGTAGGCACACGGTCTGCGGGTCCGCCCTCGCTGGGAGCCTCACGCCTTCCAGGAGAAGCTGGCCACGCCACCTTGCACCCTTGTGATCTCCATTCCCCTGCAGGTAGCCTGCCCCGGCGAGCAGGACGGCTCTGGCGTGTGGATTTCTCCAGCAGAGAGGGGCGGGCGGTGCTAGGTAGAGGACACACTTGTCCAGGTTGATGGTGGCAGGAAAGGTGGGAGAACAACTGCGTTGGTGGCAGGGGTGGGGGTGGAGGTGCCGGCAGGGTTGGAGTGCTAGTGTCAAGGACTCCATCAGTAGCGCTGGGAGCATGCTCAGATTGCCCACGTGTCAGTGAGAGCCCAAAGAGACTGACTGGGTGGCCCCGCCTAGCAGCAGCGCAGTGCCCGAGAGCAGGGGCAGTGACCGTACTCTGGAGAGGCAGAGGGGCTTCCCACCTTCCGTCTTCAGTCTCCGCCCTCTTCTTTCTGGGCCCTGGGTCTACGCCCCAAGTGCCTTGGGATCTGCCGCTCGAGGCAGTGAGTCTAGTCGGCCACCTTGCAAAGCTGTCATCATTTCAGAACAGCCAAACCCACACCAAGGTGAGACTTGGCCGGCGGAGATTTCAGAGGGAAGGGGCAATCCAGCACTTCAAGCTTGGTATTCTCCTGAAGAATTAATTGGCGGCATGTGGGGCATTCCAGTGACTATGAAGACGTGGATGGGCGAGACACGGGATAGAAGTCACGGAAGTAACGCAGTAAGAGCTGTTCAGTTGCCAGGCAGTGTGGCCATGCAGTGAACAAGCCACTCTGGAAGCAAGGCAGAACTGTGCCCTGCCGTCTGATGACACTGGGTGAGAAGCGGCAGGGCAAGGCTAGGATGGCTCACGGTTTCTAGCTTGACGAAATGTGTGACATGGTGACAGAAGGAGGGATGCAGTGGATCTGCACCAGATGGCAAGAAATCCCCATGGAGTACCCTGGCGGCAGATCCAGACCCTTGAGCTGTAGAACAGGTGGGACTTTGAGTCGTAGATGAGGAGTTGAGTGGATGAGTCTGCCTTGGAAAACCGTGCAGCTGCTGCGTTTGATTTGCTCTTACGTGCTGTGGTGCATGCTTGGAGGTCCTTAGCGTGCTGGCTGCCACGCCGCGTGCTCAACAGATGCTCTCACTAGAAGCCCTTGTGGGGCACCCACAGGCGCCCTGTGGCAGCAGCCTGCACCCAGGACCTTCCATGGAGCTACATTCCCAGCTGTTTTTAGAGAGGGTCTCACTAAGGCGCCCAGCCTGGTTAGGACCTAGGCCCCAGTCATCCTGCTGCAGGGGCTTCTGAGATGTCTTACATCAGCTCCTGCAACGAGGGGGCAGAGCCAGGCTGTGAGCTCAGGCCTGAATCTTTCCTTTTTGGTCATAGCCCCCCATGAAAGGGACTCGGGCCCTGACTGACAGAGGCACAGGCACATGTTTAATGTCTGCTTCCAGGATGCACAGACCTCAGTCAGCCCTGTGGCAGGGTGAAGGCCAGCGGGGGGCCAGCGCTGCGAGTACACCGTCGGGGGGCGGGGGGAGGTGAGGTGGAGTGGCCGGAGTCTGCACTGTTGAGATTACCAACTCACTCAGGGACTTTTTGTCCTGTTTTTCTGTCCAGGATAATGGGACCGGCAGGCGGTCCCTGGGTGAGAAAGGTGGGGCCACATGATTAAAGGGAGAGAGGCAGGAGCCCCGGGGAAGGCAGACGGGCCCTTCTGAAGTGGGCAACACTCTTGCCTGGTAATCTGAGGCTCCACGAGTGCCTGGTTCGGGGTCACAGCCCAAGTCAGTGTGGCCGGTCACACCAAGCAGGGCCCAGGCCAAGAGAGCAGTGGCACAGGGCTTCAGCATAGGCCAGGGGCAGACAGAGGGTTAGCAGGTCTCAGTGTAACCCAGGTTTGTTTTCCAGGCAGAGGAGCCCTGAAGGAAGGGCACTGGCTGGGGGCCTGTGAAGGCTGGAGTGGGTGTGCGCCGAGGTGAGCAGAGGGGAGGCTGCTAGAGGCAACAGGCAGGAAGCGTGTTCTTCAGGTGGAGGCAGCCAAGAAGGAACTTGGAGTGAGGGGGAGAACAGCGGCCAGGGGCCAGCACTAGGTGACAGGACCGCTCCTGGGCCCAACTCCGCAGGTGCCCTGGAACGAGCCAGCAGGAGCAGATGCCAACACAGTACCGTTTGTGAGACTGACGGGCTGCTACGCTGCGGAAAGGTAGCGAAGGGAGGCTCTTGCTGGGTGGTCATTCCCGGGGAATCCCAGGCCAGAGAGGGGAGCATTCGTTGGCTGACTGACCACTTACTTCTTACCTAGCTGGTACAGGGAAAGTCACGCAGTACAGTAGATTCCTAAATCACAAAGAGGTGCGCCCCACCCTTGACCATATGCTCCAGTGCTACAGCGGCGGCTCAGACCCGACTGCGGCCTTTGCATGTTCTGCACGTCTTGGGCAACCGAGCTTGGGTCTGCACGTCCCTCCCCGACGCCACTGCAGAGTGAGTGGTTACTTGTGACTACAACCTGGGTGGCACTGGGCAGGCAGTGGGGCTGTGCCTCTCTCTGGGGCCCCAGCCCACAGCCACACGGGCCGATGGGTACCAGCTATATGTCATCCCTTTTAAAAATAAAGAAGCTGAGCAGCACCAAGGATTAATTTGGCATTGGAAGCTGTGGAGTGATTTGTTACTGCCCATCAGTTTGGTCAGCTGCCGAGGCAGGGCCATGTTGGGCTGGAAGCAGCGCAGATGTTGGATTCCAGCTTGTGGGCACCGAGTTGCCGGGTCAGCCCCAAGGGGATACAGGAACCAAACGGACAGACTTTAGACTGTGTCCATAGTCCTAAAATTACTTCTAGTTTAGCATGTTAAAAATTAATCTAAAGCTGTTGTTCTGAACTAGCAGAAGATTACTGTAACGTGATACAGCTTTCAGTAAATATTTCTCTTGCTAGATAGGTACACGTGATAAGCCAACCTTGCACTGATGGAAGACAAGCTAGCCTTATTACTTTAAAAATAAAAAAAAATTTAAAAAGCAAGTCACAAGAGCCTTGGCCTCAGTGGCAGGCGAGCCCAGGGCTGCCACAGGTGGTAAGGAGTCTCCTCAGCACACAGCCACCTTTATTAAAGCCAAATGCAGTTGTTTTAGCTTTGTGCTACTTAGCAGGTGAAATTAGCACTTGCTTATAATCCTACTTTAGCATTTGCTCATTTGACTGAAACAGGCAAATCAGACTTTCAAATAAACAACCTACTGGGGTCAGGAGGAGTTCCGATGCCGGCTCTGCAGGAGGGCATGGGCTGCTGACCTGCTGTGCGCAGCCCACAGTGGCACACAGGTGACAGCAGGGGCCAGCCCACTGGCCGCTCCTGGGTGCACGGAGGGCAGTTTGGGCACCAAGCCACCTGTTTTCCTAAGGAAACTACATACAAGGGTATTTTCGTTCTCCCTTAGATGGTGGCCATGAGTGTATTTTCTTCAAGGAAACACACCTGAGGGGCAGGAGCAGCCTGTCGCCGACCAGTTCAAACACCCTCCGCTTTCCTGGCAAGCGGAGACTTTGATTTTCTGTGGAAAGTAGGGTTCTGGACCTAAAATGTCTTCAGAGGCATTGATTTAAAATACTGCAGTAGGGGCTGGGGAGATGGCTCAGTGGAATAAGCACTTCCCTGGCAAGCGCAAGGGCCTGAGTTCAATCCCCGGTTCCGCCAATAAATAAATAAATAAATAAATAAATAAATAAATAAAATACTGCAGTTAAGCAGCCAAAAGGCAAAAACCTGAGGGCTGCGATTACTATTCTACATAATCTTGTCTCCATGAAAACCTGTTAAAGACAAATTTAACGAAACCTGATTTTAAAAACCTAAACTTCTGTCCTCTAACAACCAGCCAATAGCTGTCTATAAACTTCTCATCAGTATGGTTAGAAACGCACATTTCTGTGTAATGCTGAGCTGTTGTGGTGACCTTCACCGAAGTGGACCTCGAAATCAGCCCCATGGCTGCCACTTTCATGGAGGAGGAAACAGCCTGCAGAGGGGCGAGCCGGGCCTCGAGGCCTGCGCTTTGCCACCTGGCCTGGCCGGCTGGCTGTGCCGCTGGGAGCCGGGGGGCACCAGTTTTGTATTAAAAATCACAAAAGACTAAATATAAAAAATATCCACCCAATGTCAGTGGCAGCGTTTCTTCAGCGGAAGATTCCAGAGCGGTTTCAGTGTAACTGCTTGAATTTCTGAGTTGTGAGCATACATTACTGTTAATAAAAAAGTTAGCACTCCACGCAGAGTACTGTCTGCGTGGCCCTAGGGCCGAGCCGTCTCCGGTCCCCAGGCCGGGGCGCTCCAC